TGGAAGGATGTGGCGCTACCTCGATGCAAATTGCAGTGAGCGAGTGGCAGCTGCGCAGCAGGGACCCGATGCTACTGCTCCTGGTGACAACGTCACCACTGAGCGTGAGCAGCACCAGTGCCCTGAATACAGATGCAGAAAGAAGCCTGAAATATTTAACCGGTGCTTTTATGTAGCCCATGAACTGAGAATGCACTGCACCTTCTCCTAAATACTCTCAGCCAGTGGCCTCTCACTCACCCTTTGACATCACAAGCATTTGGAAAGCAGCTGCTCCCACCAGCGTTTCAAGAGACTGAAAAGCTACATTTGCTCCTGTCTCCTTAAGTTGCTGCAGGATTGATCCTAAGAAAGAATCTCCCTTTTGTTTATTACTGAGCCAGTCATAGCCAGCCCTTCCCCGTAAAGCTTCCTTAAAACACCATGTTGATTCCTTACCTGTTAAAGCCTTTCTCCACCTGCCAATGTAATTTTTCTGCCTCCAGCCAAATGCAAACCATTTTTCATTGCTGCCTGGGCCCCAAATCTGTTGTCTCCAGCAGAAACAGCTTCCACTGACCAACCTGTTCCTAGGCCTGGTGCCATGAGACAAAAATCTTAAAAGAGGAATGAGGTGTAACTGAGATTGTCCGAAGACTTCTCAGCTGGAGTATTCACCCAGTATTCCCTTTTCCGAAGGCTGCTCACAAACATCAGCATCCAAAACAACTATCATTGAGTAAAAATGCTCTCAAAACACCCTGGGTTTTGCCAGTAAGCACCAACTTCCTCCTGAACACTCTGGCCTGGCAAAGGATTTCGTTACAGGAATGAGCTGCAAAAGAGATGAGAAGGAGGAGGGCATAGCTGCTGTTATGCAGTAGCAAACAATCATAGAATTGTTTAGGTTGGAAAGGACCTCTAGGGTCCCCAAGTGCAACCATTAACCCAGCACTGCCAAGCCCACCACTAAACTGTGTCCCCAAGTGCTACATCTACATGTCTTAAATACTGCCAGGGATGGTGAGTGACTCCACCACTTCCCTGGGTAGCCTGTTCCAGGGCTTGACAACCCCTTCCATGAAGAATTTTTTACCTAATACCTGATCTAAATGTCCCCTGGTGCAACTTGAGGCTGTTTCCTCTTGTGCTGTTGCTTGTTACCTGGGAGAAGAGATTGACCCCCCCCCTCACTACAACCTCCTTTCCGGTAGTTGTAGAGGGCAGTAATGAGGGAGCTGATGGGCTGGTGAGAGCAGGGTGAATACCTCTTGCTCCCTCTCAAGCTCACATGCTGTTCCCACGCAGGCGTGACCGCACCTCACTCCCTGTAGCCTCAGTCTCCCTCTGGCAAGACCCATCCGGCGTCTGGACCCTGCGACCACTCAGCACTTGGAGGTGGTGTAAAGCACAGGGAGTTCAAGCAGCAAGTTACAGTGAACAATCCTATTCTAAGTCATGGATTCACCAGTTTTTAAAAGCTTTGCTTAGGGAAAAAATCCACCAATCAAAATCCAACCCAAACCCCTCCATTCCTCTACTTAGCAATCCATTACATTCCAGGTTCCCAGGGCCCGCCACCATATACAGGGCCCATGGTTCCTCTGCTGGGACAGGTGCTTGTGCTCTGCCAGGCAGCTCTGCCTGGGGACGAGGGTTTGTTTGCCCATGGCCACATTTTGTCAGTCTGTGGCAAGCAAGGGGGCTCTGCAGACTGCCCTGGACTTGGGCAGGCTGCCCCACTGCAGCTCTCCTGACAGAGCACCCTGGTCACAAACGCTCTGCTGCAGCCACTCGCAAGATTCCACAAGGGAAAGAGGTTGTTCATTCCCCACTTACCTTGTCATGGAGGACCCAGCCTTACTTCAGGAGTATGTGAGCAGAGATAGGTGATGCAGAGAGCAGGGAATCCCTGGAAGAGAAGGCCTTAACTCCACTGACTGCACAGGAGACCTACTTGACTGCATGCATACTCAAGAGGGCAATAGGATACACCAAGAAAACATCTGTTCCAGGACATCAGGACTTAGCTGAGTGTGCAGCAAGATTCAGGGCTGCATTCCTGCATTGACCAAAGGCAGATGTTTGCCGTGAAAGTCCGGCTGTCCCTTACAGCCCAGACACTCGTGTGCTGTCTCTTGCGATGAGCACAAGCAGGAGTTTGTTTGGGGGACTGGTCTCTGCTCCGAACACTTGGTATTGTATGACACTCAAACCCAGACCAGAGCCTGGATTTCCTGCTGTGCCCCGTGAGGCATTGATATTTACACACCTTACTTTCCTACAGACCTCAGATTAGGCGGCAGCTCAGATCTAACCCCACAGACTTTGTGCACAACTGCTTTAGCAAAGCCAGCAGTGATAGAGCAGCCCTGGCCCTTGCCAGGAACACCACCCTGCAAGACTAGTGAGGGAAGACAGGACAACGACCCAGCCAAGCCCTTCCCAGAGCCAGGGGAAGGAAGCAAGGTTCAAGACTGGCTAATGAGGTTGTGTACCATCTGCTGGGCTCACCGTCTCCAAGCAACTGGACTTGGAGCTTCACACACAAACTGCAGTGCTCCTGCTCTCTCTCTCCTCCATAGTTTGTGGCTCACTTCCCTCCTTCTCCTTTGTGGTTCTTGTTCTTCTCCCACGGAAAGCGAATTGGACCTTACCACCAGCAGCTTGAAAGCTGCCACCTTCCCGATAACAAATGGTGCCAGTAGCCTTGACACTGACTTTTAATTCCAATGCAGATGGCTGGCAGTTCAGTCGATAAAGACAAAGCACATCAGTGGAGCAGACTTTTGTACCACATTCAGCTTGGTCCTGCTTTGCGCTTGGATTAGCATTTTAAGTCATTCAAAGGCATTGGTGACCAACAACTAAGTGGATTTGAACCTGGTTTGCAGACAGGTCTCGAGCAGTATTTTCTCACAGGGAACAGCGACAGAATGACCATTCCCTGGAAGGTTGTGTGGGGGACTGACTCTTGATGTAAATGTGTTTTATTACATCTTTTAAAAGGGTGATTGGAATATAAAACTCTAGGAGTCCCGTTGGCAATGCTTGCAGGAGTTACATTAGGAGGGAGTGATGGATAAACTGGACAACAGCAGCCTCCTCACAGAAAGGCCAATGCAATACTTAGGTAAGGAGACAGACAGGCACCAGCTGCAAGATGCTCTCTAGTGCCTTTATTTGACACTGGGGAGACTACTGAGGAAACCTCTGTCTGGTTTTGGTACCTACTGCTTAAGGAGGGTCTTAAAAACAATGGCAGAGGAGATACAATTGGAAATACTACAAAGACACAAAGGATCCCCTTCTAGTCAGCTTAGCAAGAAGTTATGAGGTGTTTGAGTCCTGGTCAAGGGGCTCTGACATTCAGAAGAGAGACCTGAGACTGAAGCTGAGGGTTGCTGTGCAAAAATCTGCACATAAAAAGAGCCCACATCTTGCATTTGTGGTGAGAGAAGTTCAGAAGAGACAGGAGGCCCCAGGGCATGTGCATCTAGAAAAGTGCCCAGGGATGACTAACCACCACCCCAAATCACTGAGGATTGTGATGAACTTCCCATCAGAGGTAAGCTTTAAATCAATAAACTCACCTAGAGAGGTGCTGTAGTTCAGGCAGCGATGCTTTTGCAGGTGTAACTGGCCACCTTTAACGCCAGGGACCAGACATGCTGAGCAGAGCAGCCCCAGTCTCACCAAATGAGTTGGATGCAGCCCCAACCCTGGTGACCTTGTGGAACCAATGTAAGTGAAGGGACAGCAGCCACTGCTCACCTGAGTTGCTTCTGGGGTGGCCACTGGCCCCCTTATCCTGGTGACCCAGAGGAGCCAGGGCTGAACAAACCAAGCCCCAAGCCCGTGTCAGGGAGCCGGGGGGGGCTGGCACCTGCTTCGAGGGCGGTTTCAGCACCCAGGAGGGGCGGGAACAGCCCCCAAACTGCATGTATTGGCAATCCAAAGAGGATTGCAGGGTAAGGCAACACTTACTATATGGACTCGTCACAGACAGGGGCTGTCCTGTCCCTGCCAGCTGTCTGGGGCAGGGGAAGCCTCACTCCGCAGGAAGCACCAGACTTCACCTCCAGTCCTTTAAGGCACCGACCAGACTCGCACTTCTCCAGTCCTGGCTGAATTTGGGCACAGGGCCCTTTCTGCTAAACCAAGGTCTCTCTCCGAGCAGCTATCTGGAGGCATCTGTCCCTATGTCTCTGAAGTGTGACCCTTCCCACCCACCTCTCACTTCTTCTAGAGGGGCTCCGGAGTGGAGGCTCCAGCCTGGAGCCCAGCAGAGGTTTTGTGGGGACAACCGCAGATTGGGGCACACGAACAAACCGAGAGGAGCCTCTTTGCAATATAAATTTGTTTTTATTGAAGCAGCAGTCACATGACCTCGCATCTAGCCTTTAGGATAGCGACAGAATGGATTCGGCCAGGTCAGCCAGCCCAAAAAAGGTTTTTTTTTTCTTTTTTCTTTTTGCGCTAATAGACATGTCATGTTTAATACATACATTATCCAGTACCGGAAACCCAACTCAGAGATAGCTACGTGCTGATTTGCTGGAGGAACGGTCCACTGGACGTGGTCTCAACAAACTTTACAGATCACCACCAAATAACATTACTAATGGGATCCAATGATTAAAAAAAACAACCCAAACAACCATGAGTGCAGGATTCAAGCCAGCAGTTTACACAGGTTAAGTTTGTATCTATAGGTGGACGGTAAAGGAAGATTGGTTGGTTTCAATTTGAAATATTTATGTCCCAGGGTTCCTCTCTCCATCAAATCAAACGGTATCATAGACAAGCTGGCATCTCTTGAAAAATAGCATGGAATAACACAGTTCATTTAAGAAAACATGCTCATTTCTTGTGGTTTTTCTTCTATTATTACAAAGATTTATGTCCACCTATTCTTGCAGAGTGGAAAGAGGCATGAGGGTGAGGAACAAGGGTTGGAGAAGGGAGAGAGGAGGAGGAAAGAAAGGGGCAATTTTTTGAAATAAAGACCACACACTTGGTATTTTTTAAATTTCATTTCCAGGCTAACCTACTTTTTATTTAATGCAAATTACAGTACCAGTTAACTATTTCCGAACCGAGTCACACAGAACAAAACGTATTTACAAGGGGAATGGGGCGGGGGAAATAATAAAACATTAAGCATACTTTCCACAAAAAAAGTTTATATTTAAAATGAAAAAAAAAAATCAGTCACAGAGGCATTCAAGTAGTAATAATGTTATACAGGTTTTGCTTTTCCTTTAAATCAAGACAGATTTGCACAAGTGTATGCAATAGTTTGTATACAACCCACAGTCCTTAATATATATATATTTAGATTTCTGTTTTTAAGATGGAAGTGGTCACGCTAATTGGTGTGTACAGGCCCAAGTGATCCATCAGCAACACATTAATGAATGCAAATTTTACAGGCAAGCAAATTATATATATATAAATATATTTTATATATATATATTAAAAATAAATTGAGAAAGACCAACACAAGGAAGCTACTTTTCTTGAGCTAACCCCTTAGGTACTGTTTTCCTTTCCTGTCGTTTTGCCATTATTGCAGTGTTGCAAAACGAAGCCAACTACGACCAGAACCGGCCGAGAGCCCCGTGGAAATCAGCTGCCACCCCAGGGGTACCCGCTGGCAGTCTCCAAAAGGCAGAGCCTGGACCGAATACCCTACTGTGCTTTTCCTCATCGGCTTTTCCTTTTTCTCCGCGGTGGCTGAGGTTCCTAGTACAGGAGTAAGAGTCTGATAGGCTGCTTGACTTCTGTTTTTCCAAGTACTGAAAACCGGGGAGGGGGGGAATTTTAAGTTGCAAGCTGCAGGCACCTGCCATCATTTTAGGTAGAGCTTGGCTTTGAAACAAGGGGAGAGAGTGTTCAGGGATCTTTTACCAGCCAATTTTCTTTTGCAGGTCATTATTTTTTTCCCTAGCAAGGTAGATAAGTTTAATATTAAACACCAGTGTCTTGATTGGGTGCCCACTGGGGGAGACAGACTGCAACCGAGCCCGGCTCAGAGACCCACTCTACAGCAGGGCTGACATAAGGGACAGATCAAGACCACACTGGGTTAAAAAACAAGCCCGAAAGAGAGTAAAAGAAGAGAGGGACAGCTCTGAGCAGACTGTCACCAACAGCTTGGCATCACTGACGTTCGTGTCACCAGAAAGAAAGTGCAGCCTCTGCTTCACTGGAATGAACACGAGATGCTTCGAAATAAAACAGCAACCTTTGGTTTGGTAAAGAGTTACGTGTTTTCCCATTCAAGACAATCTTATGTGGAATACTAACAAGGTAGTAAAACACAAGCAAACTAGTTTTAGAAACAAGGCCTTCGTGCTGGGCACAAGAAATCAAGAGTCATGTTAAACTTATCTCAAGAAAACAAAAATGTCTTTGGGGAGGGATGTGGGGGAAAAACAGGGAGAAGAAAGGGAACAGAAAGTCCTCCCAGTAGAAAAAACCACCGCAGTCTCCTACAGTGATGCCCCTGCTCCCGCCGCAGCCAAATGGCTCCAAGCGCAGCAAATCTGTGGGATGTGGGGGGTTTCCCTCCCTGGGAGTCCTTTCCGCTCGCTGAGCCTGGCTGCTGCCCTCGGCACAGCCGCAGGGAGGGTGGAAAGGCTGAGCCTCCTGGAAACTGCTACTGCCCAGAGGGCTTCTGGGCACAAGACTGAGGGGAAAGACAAGTGAAGTCTAAATGAGCTCTGGGGCAAGTGTCCGAACAAAATCAGTCACTGCTAGCGGGAGGAGGAAAGGGCAGGGTGGGCAACTTGGAGACTTCCAGAACAAAGCCATGGCTCCAATGAAATGCATGACGGTGGAGACGGTCTCCTTTCGTTCCGCTACTGATCAGGGTATCACCGAAACCTTACAGCACTCAAAGAGTTAGAAAGCGGGAGGGGGGAGCAAAGATGCGGGTTTGGGGTGGGAGACATTGTTAATAAAGGAAGAGGAGAAAAAAATAAAAGGGAAATAAAATTCAAAAAATCATGGAAGCGAAGGCACTCCAAACTATATAGATACACTATACATCGCTAGAGTTATTGTTACAATAATACAGGCCGGTACCTACTGTACAGAGTTAAAACTATATGGCTTTAAAAAGCTCGTCTACATTTTGTCTGATTATTAAACAGAATCACTGCCCTGAACGGTAACTTTTTGCTCATTAATAACAGTTCCTGGGTCCACATATTTACATACAAAACAATAAAACTCAAAATTCAAAAACAACCAAAAATAATAATGTACAAGCTTGAATTTGGTGAGGAGCTTTGTTTTTGTTGTTTTTTTTTTTCCTGTGATTTTTTTTTCTTTTTCTTCCTTATTTACAAAAAAAGGTTGTTCAAAGACCTGGATCTAACTTGTATAAAAGAGTGTGTGATCCTGCTATGATCCTTGAAAACAGAAATAAAACCAGAGGGGCGCCCCTGACCCTCCCCCCCCGCCCAACACACACACAAGACACACACAGACGCCAGCACAGTCACAAAACCAGAGAGAAACGCTCTTTTACTCCCCTCCGCCAGTCCTAAACAAAAAACCGAAAAAGAAAAGCCACATTTCCTGGCACAAGCAGCAATTTTTCTTTGATAGTTTTATTACTTTGTTTTTTAAAGACTCGGTAATTTACTGCCTCCAAATAACAGCGTCTGTGGCCAGTGCTTCAGCAGTCTTGTCTATACAGCAGATCCATACCCTGCCACTGTCCTACTTTTTGAGTCTCCCGCATGGATTTGGATCACTGGGTCAACCAAGCCCCTTCACTTACCTTTCAGGACACTGACTAGCCGAGCGCATGCGTTAAGACGCTCTTCAGCCCTTTCTATTAAGCTGCAGGTAAGGATTTGGAAAGCCTTCTGTTTCTCAACATGGGTGTGCTTTCCTTTGCAGCCAGCCGGAATGCAATGACAGCTAAAAAGCTTTAAAACCTTTTTTTTTTTGTGTGTGCCCAACAGCAAACGGCCGCAGGGTATAACATGAGGGTTTATCGGTTTCACGGTAGGTGGTCACTCACCTCTTCAAACAGCTCCTGCCTCCCCAAATCCTCCATGTGTCAGGCAGGAGGGAGAAGGCAGGGCTTTTATCAGTTCCAGGGCTGCTAAGAGACAGTTTCCAAAAAATCCCATGTCAACAGCACAAAAGGTACAAGAAGAAACGCACCGAGCTCATGACAAAGCCCCTGTCGCCCCTGCGGCGGCCGAGCTTGCCAAAGCCACCACTGCCGGTCACCCCTGGGCCACATGGAGGTCCGTGTGCTCCCGAAAAGCAACTGCTTGCCTTAGAGATCCGCAGGTCGGTAACAGCTCGGTAAGCACCAAAGGCGACTATAGTTTCTCTGAAGGAGGAGATAAGGCTGGAGCGGACACCAACCGCAAGCCTACAACAAGATCGGGTCTCCAAAAGTCTTGTTTCCGGCCGCTCCCCTGACCCTTTCGCGAGGAATATTGCTTTGACTTCAGGAAGAGAGACGTGGATGCTTGCGCCACACGCTGTCGCAGGGAGGAAACCCGGACCCTGAACTGATGGACTAGAACAAGCATTCACCTCACACTTCAGTCAGACTGATTTGAGATCGTACACAAAAATAAAAAAAGCAGTACTGTATCTATGTATACATGTATATATTTATATAATATATATACACACACACTCATAGAGCCAGCTTTCCTACAAGTCAGCAGGTACAAATTACTGTCAAGAGCATTCGGATGTGTATTTTAATATTCTAACATAATGGCGACGTGGCAACATGCATCAATAAATAGAGATCCAAAAAAAAAAAAAAGGCAAGAGATTAAAAAAGATGAAATTAAATACAGATTCTAGCTGTGGATTTAAAATCAGAACTATCAGAGAATGTGGCATCCTGCAAGTTAAAACTGCAGTTTAAAAAAATATTACAAAATAAACCAGTAGCCTGTTAACAGTTCACATTATAACCCCTGGTATCCTTTTCCTGTACGCACCTTGGGAAAGGGAAGCCTGTTCAAATCAAGAGCCGGGGAGGGGCAGGGAGAGAAAAAAACCCAACCAAACAAGCTTTCACAGTGGCCACTTTCCAAAAAGTCCCTTAACATCCACCAGCTGGGCCCCTGCCCCTGCTGAGGATTTTGTTCGTCCGCTCTTCTCTGCTGAAGCCGGAGCTGACCGTCCTCCTTGCCCTGCGCCGGCCTGACACACAGGGAGCAGGAGCTCCGGCTGGGCAAAGGGGCTGCTTCGGCAAAGCCAACCGCTGGTGTTGGTGCATGTGTGTGTATTATATTATATATCACTCACTCGGGAAAGGCTTTTCCCATATGAAGCTGTAGATTTCTTCATTGCTAGCACTGATTTTTAAAATGAAAGGCTTCCACTAGCGGTTCAAGCCTTAGACACACGGCAAACCCTCCCTCCCACCCCATGGCAACCTATTTTCCTACCACGTCGCCTGCTCCCCATGCCAAGCCGGGGCAGTTCTTCAGATAACCTGGGATATGGATTTGCTGACAAGAAACGCTGAGCTCTGTTGAATGACCCCTGCTAAGCTCCCGACCAAATTCAAGCTGTGCACTACATCAAAGTCCGAAACTTCACTTAAAAAGAAAATAAAAAAAGAGGGTTAAAAAAAAAAAACTTCAGCAGAGAATGAGGTTTGGGGTATTTTTGTTTTGTTTTTTTCCTTCTTTCTGTTGTGGGAGGGGGTATGAGGCAAGAGTCCTGGTTCTGAAGTACACAACAGCAAACTTCCAACATGAAGAGATTGTCGAGGGGAGAGACATTGGTGTGTTGTATTGCTCCGCTTTCCCTCCTCCCCCCACCTAGTCCCCTGCCCCGGACACCCTGCAGAGTGAGAATACAATGAAACTGGTTTGTATTTATAGATATTTTACAAGGTTAAATAAGAACAACAATAATAATAATAAAAAATTGAACACTAAAATGAACAGGTTGGTTGGTTTGTTGTTTTGTTGGTTTTTTTTTTTCCTCTTTTTAATTTTCTTTCCAAATGTGACCAGTGTTGCTGAGCAAGACTCAAAATTACTGGTGATTTTTCCTGTGCAGCTGGCTGCTTGGTACTGGTTCAGGTGGAGTTGGAGGCTGATGCTGTAGCTACACTATTGGTCTGAACTCGTTCTCCTGCGTTAACATCTGCAAACAACAGAGGAGAAGGGAAGAGAGATAAAACAACCAGCATTACCTCCAAAATAGAGACACATTTCAAACAACAACTACAACATTCTCTACACAGGGAAACCCACAACTCCCACCAAGATGCTGTTTGGTTAGGATGCTCTCCTGCCTTCAGGGTGCAGATGGAACAATGAAATCTGGGGAGAGGGGAAAGATGGCCTTTAAGCAGGACAAAGGCAATCTGGAGGTCTGAGGGCTGGCATGCAAACACCCAGCTGGGCTCTGGCAGGTTTTGCAGTACCTGAGCAGTAGCAAGTCGCCTGTGTTGCATTCCCCCAACTCTAACTGCAGGACAAGGCACTCTGGCATGGCCAAAGCCAACACATCAAGTGTTTGTGGTCACAACAAGGTCTCACACTGGTGCTGAAGTTTCATATTGTTAGTCCTTCTTATAACAAAGTTGCCCATTAATTGTGTGAATGGCGCAGACAATGAACATGACAAGCCTGCTCCCCTGGCAGAAACAGCTTGTATGCTACCGTGTAACTCATGCACTAGTTGCTTTAGAAAATGTCTTTCAAATTTACTACTTTATTCTGTGTTGCTCAACCCAAGTTGGATCTGCCACTCTCTGAACTGCTGAAGCAGATTAACATTAAGGCTTGAAGCCAGTAACAAGGTTTACACAAGTACACGGCATCATTAGAGGACTGGATCTCTGCAGTAAATGGTCTCCAACACCTTCTCTTCTCAGGGAGGGACAGTGTTTCACAGAGACAAGTCACAGGATCAAGGGCATGTGTCAAAGTACGTTCCAAAAAACCAGTGTTTGCAAAAAAATACCGAAAGGAAATTCACTGTAACTGTGTTTTCATAGGCCACATGCATCAAGTATTTTCTCTAAAAAAAAAAATAAAACATTCGTAGCATTACAAGAGTTGATAGGGAAAAAAATGCACCAATTTCACCTGGAATCATTTTATCTAGTATCTGATTAGTCAAGGCACAAAGAAGTAAGTGGGTGAACATCTAAACATGTAAAATATGGAACGGGAAAAAGATATTAAATGAGGTTTTCTACAAGAGACTGCCATACATTTCACCCACTTCATTTAAGTAAGGTTAACTGCAAAACTATCAAAACTGCAACAGGAAAAAAACATCAGAAAGACTTATCATCTTGGTACAGAAGAGGGCAGACTGGGCAAATAGTGTATTCCAAAAGACACGTGGAAAGGGCTTATAAAAAGAATAGATTTACTGACCTCAGACTGAAGGACTGTATGACTAGCATAGGTACCAGACATGATAAAATACAACTGGTGAGTGGGGAGTGCAGTGACATTCCTCCCGCAGGGAAGAGTTTGCAGGGCAACGCAGCTGGACAATGGTCTACAGTAACCTAGTAATGAAACCCCACTCCTCTTCTGCCACACTGACCTGACCACGGTTGGAAGTGCAACCATGAGCAAAGGCAATGGGATGAATCATAGAATGGGTTGGGTTGGAATGGACTTTCAAGATCATCTAGTTCCACTCCCCGTCATGGGCAGAGACACCTTCTACGAGACCAGGTTGCTCCAAGCCCTGTCCAACCTGACCTTGAACACTTCCAGGGATGGGACATCCACAACTACTCTGAACAACCTGTTCCAGTGCCTCACCACCCTCACAGTAAATAATTTCATCCTAATATCTAATCTAAACTTGCCCCCTTTCAGTTTTAAGCCATTCCCCCATGTCCTATCACTACATGCCCCTGTAAGAAGTCCCTCTCCAGCTCTCCTGTAGCCCCCTTTAGGTCCTGGAAGGTGGTCTAGGGTCTCCCCAGAGCCTTCTCTTCTCCAGGCTGAACAGCATCAACTCTCTCAGCCTGTCTTCATAGGGGAGATGCTCCAACCCTCCGATCATCTTCATCATCCTCCTCTGGACTCTCTCCAGCAGGTTCACATCCTTATGCTGGGGACCCCAGAGCTGGATGCAGTACTCCAGGTGGGGTCTCACAACAGTGGAGAAGAGGAGCAGAATCAACTCTCCCAACCTGCTGGCCGTTCTTCTTTTGATGCAGCACAGGATATGTTGCTGGCTCCCATCAGCCAACACTCCTAAGTCCTTCTCCTCAGGGCTGCTCTCAAGCCATTCTCTGTCCAGCCTGTATTTGTGCTTGGGGTTGCCCTGACCCAGATACAGGACCTTGCTCTTGGCCCTGCTGAACTTCATGAGGCTTGTACAGGCCCACCTCTGAAGCCTGCCAAGGTCCCTCTGGATGGCATCCCTTCCCTCTAGCACAACGACCACACCACACAAGCTGTCTAGAGATGGGCAGCACTTGCTGAGTCACAAATTAAGTAACACACACAACTGCGACAAAAATAGGAAATCAAACAAACAGCAGCATCCAGAAACACAACGGACAAGTGGGAAGAGAGGGTGATGTCTATTTGAAAAGGAAATGCTATGAGGAGAGTGTGGGAAGAAAGGCAAATTGTCCTGTGGGCAGAAGATGCCAGATGACTGCTCTCAGATTTTCCTGTTCCTTTTAATCTCACACCAAATTAATTGCATCCCCTCCCTCATGAAGCAATGACCATGATGATAAAAAAAATACCCTCATACAATTAAAGCCCCAATGCAGCATGACAACAATACCAACGATATTTGGGAAGCTAGCCTTGCAGGCAAGAGGCATCCTCCTATGAGGAGAATTTCCCTGAAGGAGCAATTCCCAAATCCCAAATGCATGCAGACCAACGATGACTACGGAAATCAAAAGTTACCAGAGAGCCAGGTAACAGTTTCCACACTTTAAACTCTCACCGTGCCTGTTCTAGATTAATTTTCAAGTATAGATAAACTCCAGTTAATGCAACATCTGCTGGTAGTGCCTGATGCAAGCAGTCCAGCTGGAGTCTGTATTTTTGGCAGAGGATTTCTCTGTATGTGTACAGAAAGTGCGTGTATTTCATTTACTGATATAAAATGTGCCTTTTGATCTCCATTTCCTGAAGACAGCAGAGGCTGAAATTGTTATCATTACATTGCTACTGCACAGAGATAAAGCAAAGAAGATGAGGGGATGGAGCTCCATGTAATACATGCTCCTTTTCTATCATCACTCTAATGGGGAAGTTCCTGAGAAATATATATGCCACATGTCAAAAGAAAGTCAGGTGATGCAGTCCAACAACATACAGAAGTTCCCCAAGGCTGGGACAGTGCAGAGCAAATTCAAGGCTGCACTTGCTCTCAACCCACAAGAAAATGCAGTATTTTGACATTTCAGTTCATTTGTTGACTCTGCATTGACAGGACATCCAAGGAACGAAGAGGGGCTTGTTCCAGCATTTCTTTGCTGAAGCACTGGAAAAAGAGCACAACTGGAGCATGAGGTTCTCTGGACATTCATTTACTCCTCCTCTCCATGAGAAATCAGTATTTGGGCATAAGAGAAGAAGATCTAGGCCTTCAGCAACGATGGTAAAAGACATCTGTTTTGCAAAGCAGTGTCCTGTGCCACTGCCAAAGCCCTGCTGGGGAGCACAGCCAGGAGCTGGATGCAGCTCTCTGGCACAGGACAGATGAGCACTCGTCACACTGCGGCTCCAGGTCAGGGCAGCCTCTTTGTTCTAAACCACCCACCTGACACCTCTGCCTGTGCAGGCAAGGAAGAGTCACCAGGGCTTAAGTGTCAGCTGCTTCCAAAAGTTCTTTCAAACAGAGGGCAAAAGTATCTCCCATCATTGCAGAGAACCTCCTCCAAGTCAGCTTTTCCCTCTGAGGAATGCCTCAGCTTTCTTGGAGGGTACGTGACATTCCTCAGAAACCTCCCAGAAAGCAAAGACAGGGCTACAGTTCAGAGAATGACAGAGACGCCAGCCCAGTCTGAGAAAGCCCATTAGCACTAATGACAGCATTAGCTGGTTGGATTTGTAATGCTGACAGACTGTGCTGCTCATCTGCAAAGATAGAGAAACAAAGCTACCACCAGCCGGGGAATCCTCACAAGACAGCTGAGGAGACAAGTGGAAGGAGAAGGAAAGCCTGGTTTCCCTATTGTGCCTGCCTGTGGATGTAAAAATCCAGGCTCTGAGCAAAACCGGCAAGAGCAAAATATGCAAGTTTTACTTCTCTGTCATGGATTCATCCCTGTGCTGAGCTTGTAGAAACCTAAGTTAATTGCTTGACTATATTCTCCCAGTTAAGAAATTAAAGTTTTCCAAAATTCCTTCAATGGGAATATCACAAATGCACTAAATCTTATTTTATAGAGCACTGTGGTCTTTTTCAACTACCACACAGTGGCAGGTAACACCAGCTCTAATCTGTTTTGTTGCTGAAAGTTCAGGCACATCATTGCATTTGGGATTACATGGGATCAACACAGCAGGATGCCTGAGACGATGACCCCAGAATCCCTGCTGGCACAACTTCCCTGCAGATGGCAATTATGCTCTTCCCATCTTAATGCTGACTAACAGAGAGGTAACTACTGCTGCTGGCTGATTCAGGAAGAAAAATACGTAGTCGCATAAGCAGATATGCATTCAGCTTGGTGTGCATGCTCCCCTCTCGGATGCCATGGCTGCACAGCTATGAAACCATCCTCTTCCTCCTCCAGCTACATCAAGGCAGCATCCCCAGAAGCATGGCTGAACTGGCATTTTTAATCAATGCCTAGTGTAATTCACAGAAAACTACCACACTATTTCAAGCAGTGGCCAATAAATCTTACATTCTTTTTCCTCCGCTTTGCTTTAGACATGCTACTAATGTCAGAGAATTTCTCAGAAAGATTTGGGTGAATTTACTAATGCCAGTGCAGCAAGGCTTCATACTCTCGCTGGTACCATTATTACAGCGAGTCCAGCTTTATGCCTCAAGAGAAGAGGAAATTTACAACAAATACTTTTTTTTAACACTGAAAAATTACTTAAAATAATTCCCCTGCATTTAAGATCATGATCCCAGGATTACTGTTGCACTGGGCGATTGAATCATCATTATGAATCTAGCAGTTAACAAAAATTACTTGCTTTGGATAACTTTTAAAAATGTAGATGTGTGTCATGCTGGTTAGCACAAGGGTTAGTCTTGCTGGCTTGATGAAACCTGCCCTGTTAACGTGGTACGTTGCAAAGCCAATCTTTCCATCTCTTAACATGCCACACCGCTGCTAAGTCTCCTGGGAAACACTACTTTGATAGACTTCAGACAAACAGCCCTCTTTTCGCTAGTTATTCTCTAACTATGACCCTGTCTTGCTGCATGATCAAAAGTGGTGCTTGACACCTTATCAGAAAGCTGAGATTCTGACATGGCTGCACACCCGCAGGACAGCTATAAAAACAACAGGAGCTATTTATTATGCAAGCAGGTAACAACCACCCACCTGGTTACCTACAGGGATGGACAGGCACACTGCATTGCAATGTACGTGCACCTGGGCCTCAAGCTCATGGAGCAGGTTGGACATAACAGCAGGCACTTGAACCTCTGCTTGCTAGATAGAGCACAAGTTACACACTAATAAAGTCAACTACAGTTACCTATGATTTGCTTTTCCTTTTATTGCTTTGAGAGCTACATTTTGCTGCATCCTCACCACTCAACAAACTAGTTTCTGAACTTGTACTGCTAAGTTACATAAGCAAACATTTTGCAGAAAAGTCTCCTGCCTACCAGGATGCCCTGGGTTAGGTGGGAGTTTTGCTGAAGTCACTGAACAATTCAACATTCACTGCTCTGGGAGGTGCAGGAGTATAGAGAAAGAAGGAACCCTTCTATGAAAATGTCTCGCTAAGTGTAGCACAACAGATTAAAATGACCTCAACAGGACCTAATCCTAAAAATCATACCTGTGATGACATTGCCACCATCTGCTGTGAGAACCCATGTGATTAAGAAACAACCAAGCGGTTGTGCTGCAGAAACCCAAAGCCACAAGCTGAACTTAATTTCACAATTTCTTTCCAATTATTTCCAAGCTGCAAGAATATTATTTTTTGGTTTGAACTACAAATAGAAGGTCTTATCCCAACTCAGTGAAGTGCTTGCAAACAGAAGCTTTAAAAATGTTGACATAATTAACACGGGGGGTTTTTTGAGGGTGGAGTGGGCTTTGGTTTTTTTTTGGTAGGTTGGTTTGGCTTTCTGGGGTTTTTTTGTTTGTTTTTTAAATACTTCACATTTCGGACTCGACCTAATGCATTTTCCCCCCACATGGACCCTTGAAAAGTGCTGAGTGAAAACAGATTTTTTGACCCTATCTTGGGGTCTTGGCAAAGAGAACTCCATAAAAGGCGTGAAAGGAACACTAAGCAAAACAATATTTTTCAGAAAGGCTTAAAATAATTTTCCATGTTTGTATTTTGTAGTTTTTAAATCACTTTTACTACTTTATCCGCTTTTTTTCTCACTAGTTGTTGGGCAACAGATGCACACAGAGAACAAGAATATTTGCAAAATACCACCAAGTGTGTGAAACAAACATAATACATTTTAAAATAGCCATTTGTCTTCTCCTAAATTCAGAGCACATAAATTGTATAAGCTGTAGCTTTTATCTGCTGCTACTAGAATTTCAGAGAGAAGCCTCATCTTTCAAACCTGGGTGCATCTGTCTGTCCCAGAGTATGAAAATGCTTTCTATACAGCACTGGCTGGACCAAGTGCATCAGGTATCAGGTAACTGTCTGGCACATCAACAAGCAAATGCTTTCCTGCATGTTTCAAGAGCAGCTTTTTAATCAGGCCTTCTCTTTATCAGCTGTCTTACACTAAGAAAGCACCTTGCACCTCAAAAGGGGTCATGGCCCTTGTCAAATGGGGCTGAGGTGCACACAGGACACACACGCCCATTTTGCAGCCTGCCTTTGGCTGGCCCAGCCCCGAGACAGTCGGCTGGTGTGCTGACTCAGGGCTGACTCAGAGGAAAAGTGCCGGGTACTAAATCACCTCTGCTACATCCTGCAGCACCTGGGATTTTCTTTGGGAGTCTCCCAACTGGTATTACCAGGCTTTTAAGCTTTCACTGGAAACAGAATACAATATGCAATGGCTAAAGGCCAACAGTGAGCTTTTAAAAGGTTTCTGACAGAAACCTGAGACAGAGCAAGAGGCAAAGAAAAAAATCACTCAGTGCTGGCCAAAACCCAAAAGGAATCTGCCTTGTGGCTCAAGATGACATGAACAAACTCAGTAAAAAGCAACTGCAACTACTTAGATGAGACAGTGAGCACACTGACTGAACTGCTTAACTAAACTCTTTAAATACTAATGCCTTTAGGGAAAAAAATCCTCTCCATCCACGCTACATGGAGGTTGCATGTACTGAGCTACCTGTTTCTTCTCTTCCTAGGCATCACAAAGTCATGCTCCAAGTCAGTATTAATTTCAGGGTAGCTGAGAGCTCAGAAGTTAGGTGCAAACCAATCCACAAGGATTGCTAAAAGCTAAGTGAGATAATGATTTTTTTAAAAGTGGAAGTCTGAGTGAGAAGGACCAAGAAACTAAGCAGTCAAAAAACAGAGTTTGAGTGCCCTGAGTTAGGATTTGGGTGACACTGAAACAAACCCTTCCTCCCTGTTCACTTTGAGGGCCAAGGCAGCTTGTGGGCCTCAGCAGAGCGGAAGTGCCTGGGCAGGGGAGCGAGGGTGGGGAGGGAGGCAGGCAGTTGCATGTTCTCACCTGAGGCCGCTGTAGCGTTTGTAGGGGTTGAAGCAGCTGCTTGGTTCCGGGCATGAGCAGGGATGAGGATCGAAGCCAGAGATGGGTTACTTGACAGTTCTGGAGGGGAGGTGGAACAAACAGAGTTAGCTCATCATCCACAAAGTGCCCCACATGCAGGTTCAGCTCCTAGGGTTTCCCCCTGTAACAGCAACCTCAGGCAAAACACATGCCCTTACAAGGTCACGTTACGTTTTCTTCTTTGCCAACCAGCGAGAGGAAACCACAGCGATATTTGGCAAGGCATTCTCCAGAGCAAGACTCAAAACTACGAGTAGTGGTGCAAGGGAATTATTTCCTAGAGAAAGACACTGGCTTGGGAGTCAACAAAGAACCAGCTAAGCCTGTTCCTTGTCAATGGTCTGATAATGCTGTTTGCTTCTGAGCACTGGAAGGATTCCCTTCACAAACCCACCTGCAATCAGTCTCAGGGAGAAGGCTGATAACAGTGGTGCTGCTTTGGGCACTGGTTCAAGCAAGCAAGCAGCTGGAACAGTTGCTCCAAGAGCTTCAGGAATTAGTTCTTTGGCTCACTCAAGCATCATTTTTTCTCAAGGACCCAGGAACCCAAGACCAATCTCTCACAACCATCTCCTTGAGCGAGGCCAAGGAGAAGTGACATATCCTTTAAAAGGACAGGGAAAGGGAAAGGCAAAGCAAATTGGTCAGCTGGGCATTTTAAATGTACAACAAAATGATGCAACCATTCCTTCTGGGACATTAACCAAGGAAAAAGCAGTCATGTCTTCTAGGCTCCAAATCTAATATAGTTTCAATGTGTATCAGAATGAGAAATAGGCATTTTACAGCCACAACTGTGGGAGGATTAAGGGCAACACATTGCCAAGAACTGACAATCTTCTGGCACCTTTTCAAGAGAATCTAGTGCCTCACAGAAGGTGGGACTGAGCTGAGACAAGACAGGTCCTGTTTGTTTCAGAAACAGGAGTGACTGGCTGTCTCTTGAGAAAGCAACATCCGGTAAAAAGGATGTGAACAGTCATCTCACGGAAGGAGACGGATGAGTTTTGGAGCTCCAGGAGGTCATCTGGAGGAGAAATGAGAATAGACAGCTTTTTACAGAGGACCTCCAGATAGCACAGGCTGTACAGAAACCCATCCAAATCACACCACAGGTTCAGCAATGGGATTTTGGACACAGTCTCAAATTATTTGGGCTCATTTTTGAGAGCCTACTGCTTCTCTTTAATGCTAGTTTTAGACTCACGGCCTAAAGGGATCAGTAGTCTACTTGGTGATTTTTTTTTCTCAGTTAACTGTTACATTAAGTTTCTTTACTGCTGGGAGGACAAGATACAGAAGACTCACGTGTTTACAAGCCTCTTATTACTGCACACTTTGACACTGAGTTTCAGCACTTACGAATGTAACCAGGTTGCTACATTACCTGCAACCCATCCAATCTATTCTGTAATATCTGTTCAGGTCTAAGCTAGTCCTCCTAGAAAGCCTCAATATTCAGAGCACTGGTACAAATACAAAATCCTCAATTCATGTGGGAATAATTCAGAATTCATATATTCATAATGTTATGCAGAATTTTCAAATCTCTACTTTAAATGGAAAAATAAACTGAAGAATCATGAATCCTAAAAGTCAAAGTGGAACACCAGTCATAAACTTCAATACTATCTTGCTCTGTGCTAGAAAATGCTGCTCCTTCAGTATTTTTTTCAAATTTGTTTTCCAAATCTGCTATTACTGGGAATGCACTCTTTACCTTGCTCTTTTGAAAGTTTTTATCTCCCCTGCATTATTTTCTGGAAACAATACAGGGCTGTGACCCAAACAAAAGCAGAGCTAAAACGACAAGGAAACCAAATTTGCTACCTTCTGGTGCTACGCGGTGCCTTGAGGATGCAGCTACAGACTGCCAAAATTGCTGTAGCCAAAGAACCAGTTGGTCAGATGGAACAACACCCTTGCAAGGGCACTTCAACCTCATTCTCATTCCTCCCTCATCTGATGTTGTCAGAACACCTCCTTTTGCAGCACCAGCTGTGGCAATAATACTAGTTTTTTGTTGTGTTTAATGTAAGTGCAACCATTTCTCTGAAGCTACCTTAAACTTTCATAGAGACCAGAAGACTGACCTTGCTCCTGTCTTCTCAAATCCCACATTATCTTTCTTGATATGAAGTTTCTTAAATTCAGCATGCTCTGAATGTCTTGATGCTTCACTTAAGAGGAAAAGGTCAATTCAGACAAGAAGCAACCAAAGTAAATTAAACTCTTTTGGTTGAAGTTTGTTAGCAGCTTTCCTCGAGAAGTTGTTTGAACTTTTGTTATAGTGTATTTTTGCACCTATCGCATCTGTAAGGATGAGACATGGCAATACTGAGGAGAAAGCTGCAGTCTACAGAGCGTTGAGAATCTCTGAGAATCCTCAGTGATTTCCCCCACAGTATTTGGACAAGCTGTTGAACTGTAGCCTGATTATCCAAATCAAACATGCAACTCAAGGTTGGGTTAATTACAATGAATAATGCTGCAAGAAGGTATTACAGTCAAGGCAATCCAGACAAGTTTTCAATATCATGATGTGAACAGAGCAGCTATCACAATTCCTTCACAAGACCTAACTCCATTCCACATCAGCTGGGAGAACCCCTCTGGCTTTCTTTTGATCAAATTATACCATTTGCAGCCAGTTAACATCTCCAAAAAGGAGTAAGAATGAAAATGTCCAGTTTTACTAGAAAACCAGATCATCTTCATTCTCAAACAAAAGAGAATGACTAGTGTTGGCAAATGGTGCAGTGCTTTTTTCAGTATCATTACATGTGACATATCAATTCTAAGAATTCCCTGGGAAAACTATTTTTGTATCATGTTTTCTTTGTCACAATAACAAACTTTGCATTCTGTATCTATCTTAAAAAAACCCCAAAAACTAAAGGTCACAAGCCAGGGTCATTAAAGAATAAACCAAACAAAAGAAAAAACCCCCACTCCCCTCCCCTTCAGTAAAAATGTAGTCTGTCATAGAGAAGCATGATAACCATTCCTCAGTGCTGAGTCACAGAAAGAATTTTACAGTCTTTAATGGCCAATATGGAGTGACATCAACTTTTGTGACCCAGCACAATCACTGAAATGGCAATCATTTCACAGGTTGTTTGAAAATTCAGCTTCTAAGAGAAAAATTGCTTTCCGTCTTGCAGATCTAACAGCTACTGAACTGCAGCTCTGTGGCTAGTGGAGATACTTCCTTGGCCAAAGTAATTTTTTCAAAACCCAACTGGCATATTTATTTAAACAGTTGTTTAAATTAAGAGAAACATACAGAATGACTAGATAATACTCTCTTCCACAGATCTCATATCTACAATAAAGTCAGCGTCCACATGCTTCACAACTATAGCTGGCAGTCAAAGACTATGAGCTTTATCTTCCATATACTCTCACTGCTCTTCTTCTAGACTATCTGACCAGCACCAGTGCCCAGATCAGCAGAATTGATGTGACCCTTGATTTCTTTCCGAAAATCAATCCAATGCATTAACGGTTGGATTTATGTTATTATTTCGAACAGTTCTGCCCTTGAAACTCCTGCAGCTACCTCCTACTTCATGGGTTTCAGGCAAATAAAACACTCTAAAACTTAATATTGTCTGTTGAAAACAAATGCCATTTAAAACAAAAGGATGTCTTTCTTTATTTTTTAAATTACTACACATGACTTAACATGATTCATTATCCAATTTCCAATTATCTGATCTGTTTCCCGGTTGGAATTTCTGCTCTGGACCAGCCAATTTGATGGGACCTTGCATGGTAAAGACTAGAGAACAAGGACTGCACAGTAGTCACAGGAGGAGCAAAAGCTTCTTGTGTATCTTGAGTTCACAATCAGGACTGCTGCCTCATGAGACTCACTGCTGTGCATTTATTATTTACAGAGTTCTTGAAATCACTGCGCTAAGCAATGTATTTATGTATTTTAAAACAACCCTTGTTATTTTTTTGAGTTTGGCTGGTCACCTGCAACACAGCTTATTTGGAAATGCATTAATGACCAGTCTGTGTCCTGCCTTTCCTTTATAGATGGTACAACTGGCACCTGTTGATGACTCGCTTTTTTTATCTTAAGGAAATTGCTCCATAGGAACTATTTTCACTTGCCATTCGCAGGAATCACTGTGCAAGAGGAGAGCTCATCAGCTCCTTAGGATGGGAACAGAAGCTTTGAATTTGCTCAAGCATTAGGGTAGCTTACCCAGCAGCTTCTACACTGCCTGAGGGGAATCAGGACACATTCCCAATACATACACCTGTTTTTCCCCTAAGGATTTTTAAACAGACTCACTGTAGAGCTTTCCAACCCTTTTTAGAAACCTTGTTTTCATGTAGTAGATACGTCCAGTCTTAATGTCATTACAAAACAGTCAGAATCAAAACAATTTCAGAAAGCACAGGGGTGAAGCTGTATTAAGATACTGGGATCAAAACTACTTTAGCTGCTGAAGACAGCCTTAGAAGGGGGGGAAAAAAAGCAATTCAGGAATACATGGAAGGACCTGTAGCATAACTACTAAATTTCTAACAACAGACATGGAAATCAGCACAGAGGACAGTGACCTGGAAGCACAAGCTATTTACCTGAACAGTTTAATGTGTTTATGCTTTGGAAATGTTTTAGTATTTTCAATATATTTACCTTCTGCAAGGCAGACATTTAAAACAAGTTAAAAGCGTATTTCTAGGCAGCTTAACATATTCCTTTGTACAGATACAAAGCTGAATTTTTATTTTTTTTTTAATAAAAGGGCTCCACATGTTGAAGGAGAGGGCTCTGCTTCACATTTTGGTAGAGGGGCAAAGAGTTTGAAAAATTATATTGATGCTAACTGAGCCAAAAGGTGTTTCAGACTTTCAACAGAAAATCCACACAGAACTATTCTTGCCCACAGGGTGAGAATTGGCAGCTAATCACTTTAAAAAAAAAAAACAACAGGAAAAGTACTCCAAAATTAATTACTAGCATATTTTTATGCCATACTTCTCACATTCTCTGTCTTGGCAGGCAAAACTATTCTGGGGGGATATCAGTTTTACACTTCTGACTTCTGTGGAAAAAATACATGAATGGTTTTAAAATTCAATATCAATCTGGCTTCAAATAAAAAAGTTAGATGTCCATCATTTTTACATTTTCTAAATGACTGGGTCAATCGAATGCCAGATGAACTGTACAGCACATAAAAGCTGGACACTAAAGCCTCTGTATTTATCTTGCATCCAGAACTAAAATGGGCAGCAACACTACAAACCTCCCTGTCAAACCTAATATGCATTACTACTTTGTTATGGTGTTTCAGGTATGAAGAAGCAGGATCATCTCCAAATGATAACCTCCATGGTCCACTGACTGTGATATTTCACACACAGCCATCAGCTAGGTTGCACACAGTGAACTGCAAATGTAAGCCTCCTTGATGCAATCCAATAATAACATCCCTCAGTACTTCAACACAAAATTTGAACTGAAGGCATCAGGCATCTGTCCTGTAACTCCAACTCCCTTTCCTCTCTTTTTGATATGGACAGCCGGTTATGCAACTGCTTAATAACATTAGTCCTGCTCAGAGATTTTTACTTTCAAGGGAGTAACATCCGCATTACAACAAACATTCATCCCAGTACTTCTTCCTAAAGAAGTGATCCTTCAATGCTCTCAGGCTACCTTGAGTGGTGAAATTGAAGAGTGCAGGTTTATCTCGCCCATTTGGTAACTTGACATTTGGGTCCCGTAGTTCATCGAAGAAAGAGTGTGCACAAGCCTCCAGGGGAGTCAGGCGGGCAGTGGGGGTGTACTCCAACAGACGGCTACATAGCGCGATTGCTTCTGGTGGAGTGCGGGGCCGGAAGACCTAAAAGAACAACAAGAAAACAAACAAGGAGAAAGGGGTTGTCTGGGTATACTTCTTTGTTGACCAGAAGCAAGTCAGCGCAATTAAACCTCTCACTGCCCAGCAAGCTGGAACAAACTTGCATTTTGTGCTAATCAAAGTCCTGCAGTAAGTATGGGAAAATCCAGTTCCTGGGGTTGAGAAAGGGTTAATTGCAACGTCTTGCACTAGAGTGAAGGTGCAATGCCAGCAAGAGACTTCATGAGAGCGCACTCAGAAAAACAACTTTGAGAATGAAGGGGAAACTCATTCAAAAATCATGACAAACACACAGGTGCTACCAGCCATGCATATGGAGTGAAGGTGGGGGAGGAGGGTTGAAATGAGCAGGATTCACCGAATATAAAAATATAATAAAGCCCCGCTACAGTTCTGGGTTGTTTTTTTCTGGCTAGTGTATGAAGTCTTACTAACACAGACTTTTGCAGGCAGGCAGGTCAGATTGTTGCTATGGAGGCTGCTGTTCAACTTTGGAGAACAACAAGGAAAGCACGGGTGGGGTTGCAGGAAATGTCTAGCTCCAATTTGCAAGTTACTCCTTTTGTGACCTTATTCTGGCAAGTCTCTCCTGTAAGTTTATTGGGATAACTCCTGCACATTTGGTATTTGTAAGGACAGCTGAAAATTGCATTCAAGAAAACCATTTTACTCTAACAGATTTTTTTCTTGAGTGATTACAAAAAGGAGTTCTTCGCTGCAGCTTTGTTTTAAACCTCTAAGGATGGTTCTACCCACTGCCAATCCGACTCCCATCCTCCTTTCTCATGACACCATAAGCAAAATAGGAGGTAATAATGTATGTGACTTGGATGGCCTCCTCAAGCATTTGCCTCTTGCTATGTTGCAGGTGATATGCAGTCTGGGAAAAAGGGAGTAGGGTGGGCATGAGTGTTAAGTTCTGATGCCAGCATTTTTGGTAAAAACTGAGCTAATCCAAAATGCCTTTGCACCAGTGCAGGTGAACTCAAGCCACACAGCACCAAGGAGCCAAAAAAAAAAAAAAAAAGGTATGACATGGTAGTTAATCACAGATGAGGAACTTGCAGGCACTCCTTTGGTAGGGTTTAAACTAGACATATACGCTCTCTTGAATGAGAATCAAACACAAATGTCAAGTTCTGCAGGGGCTGAAATTTTACCCCCTTGGTGCCCATCTGGGTCAGGAGCATTAAGGTTTGCTGCAGTGTGTGCCGTACTAACTTGTATGGCAAGGAATCCTGACTCAGGGGGTCAAGGAGTCAGGTATAAGAAGAGCTGACTTTATTCCTACTATGAAGTTATTGCAAAACAAACAAAATGTTTTTGCACAAGGCCTATAATGACAAAAAGGAAGGCTTTAGCTTAACACTGCTGGCAGAGAACCGCTACTGACCACTGTGCCATCTATGTAGGGTCATGTGAAGGGGCAGCAGAAGCTGCTTTGTGCCTGCTGCCTGCAGAGCTCGGATTGCTGGCCACAGCACACAGTGGATACAATTATCACTCCCAAGACACGGCCTGACCTGAACAAAATCTAAGACTGTCTCCAATTAAAAAAACACCAGCCAACCTTGTGGCTTTCCCTCCCCTCCGCCCCCCACCCCACAGTGAGTAGCACAAATGGGTATGTCTTGAGGTAAACCCACAGAAGTGAAGTTGTTTTATATTTAAAATGAGGTAAAACTACTGAGGTGTCCCTCATGCACCTTAGCAGTGATACTTTTAACAGGATTGATTTACCACAGCTTGAAACTTAGGTACTTCACTCTTAGCTGTGTTTTTTTCCCTTCAGAACAGCTCACATGACAGCCACTATAGATTTTAAAAAGAAAACCATTTTTTTTCCTTAGGTAAAGACCACAAGCCAAGCCCTTATGTTGAGCAAATTAGTAGGCACACAGTCACAAATCTGATATCTGTAAAAGGAGTACTTGCTTGTCCACTCTTAAACTCCTCATTTTCAAGTCCGTGAAACCCTAACATGTTTTCTAAACTCCTGGTATGAACTGCTCAGTCTGCCTTTATATCTGGAATTAAGTCACTTGGGATAGACAGTTCCTGAATTCTGCCCTAACTGCTTCAATCCAGGAAGGGGGGGGAAAAATGAGAAGGCCTCACAGGGCCTTCCCCTGCAACAAGTGGTGACTACCACATGAAGCAAGATATAGGTCTGTGCCCATCTCATCTCTACCACCTTGTGTTACAACATTCGCCTGGCTGCTACCTCACAGATGCAGTTTGAACTCAAATATTCCACTTCTAGCATTTCTGTTTTTTTTTTTTACAAGGCTAGGCCTAGTAATTTGAAAAAATGTTTAAGTACATACCCGCACTCCTGAGGTGAAATGTCCTGTTCCTGACGAGTCCTAAAGATGATAATGCAGTGAAATAATCCAAACAGGGGGAGTCAATCCAAAAGAGAATAGTCCAGCAAGGAAAAATATAGCCAATATTATAAGAAATCCATGGTGTGGGGGACATAGTAAATGTTTATACAATTAGAAACTTTAAACATCAGTCTCCATAGCAGCAAGTCCAACTTCACCACAGTGTATGCCAAAAAATTGATTGTGCAATGGTGAGGCATAGTATAGAAACATTTCTATATGAAATTTATGTTCCAATGCCAGTGCATTTACTAAAAAAATAAAAAAAAATTGAAATCAAAACTCTAACTTGAACTAAAAGGGTAATTGAAATTCCCAAAGAATTTTCAGTCCTTGGTCCTGGATATAAACGTCCACAGAACCGTGTGGCCAGATTAGTTTGTCTCCAAAGGTTCATCCCACTTGTAAATCTGTCTCAGACACACAATGTAAACTTTTGGGTGGTTTTGGTTTTTTTTTTCAAAAAACCCAAACCCCTAGCAATTTATAATTTGTGTTGAAGACAAAGTAAAAATCAAAGATCTGTACTTTAAATTTGGATACTTTTAATTTGTGTGTGCTATGAGTACCTCAGGCCGCCGCGGATTATTCTCCATTTTGGATTGACTTCCCCCGCCACTGGATTTTGTTTGCTGGCGTTATCTCTTTAGGATTCTTCAGGAACTGGACGTACCACCTCAGGAGTGCGGGTATGGACTGAATTTCTTTCTATTGCGGGTTTATTCCCCCTCATACCCGTCGCACCCATTACTTAAGAAATTTTTTCCCCTCAATTTGTCCCTCCCACCTCCCTTTTGAATAATGCCCTAAGAAATAAAAGCCAAACCCTCTGCAGTCTTTTAGCTCTTCCCATTCAACACAGTTCCACCGGGAAAGCTGCCCAATTCACCCACCGAGAACTACACGAGCAGCTGCCGCCCACAGCAACGGATACGCCAGCACTTCCATGCCACGGGGCATCGATGCCAAGGCAATGCTGGGCTGATGCTCTGTGGTGGAAGGGGTGGGAGGAAAGATAGACGGTGGGACTTGTGAGCCATGAAGCCCTCGCACGTACGTCTCAGCAGGAGTTTAAAGTCTCTGTAGTTCTCAGTGAGGGAATCAATTTAGTAAATAATCCGCGGATTATTTTTAGTCTGCGGACTAAAATTTAGTGCACGGACTAAAATCCGGCCCATCGGAGCAAAGTCTGTCTCGGTCTAAAATACATCTGGGTGAAAGCAAAAGAAAATAAAATTAAAAAAAAGAAAGAAAAAGGAGAAAGGAAAATTAAAAAAAGGAAAAAGCTAAGTGCACAAAGTGTTTGGGCGGACTAACATTTAGTATGCAGACTAAATACGGCCGGGCAAAAGGCACAGCAAGGCCACAAACAAACAAACAAAAAAAAACCCAACAAAACCAAATCAAAAATAAAACACTGACAGGAACTTTTAAAGCAATCAGATACTACCCCACCGGCGCAACAATTCATTTTTCTAAAATGAAACAAGACCTTGTGTAAGGCTATTTGTCCACAGGAGGGACCGAAGGCTCAAGTTTTCATTTTAAAAAATGAACCTGTTTTGGAGATAAACAAATGCAAAAAAAAAGGCTTTACATACAATATTCTTGAAGGAAAATTTGCACTTGAATAACTCAAAACCTCTTGTTTCTGCAAAGCAAATGAATTTCAGGCTGAGACCCAGGTTGCTGGTTTTTGTTTGTTTGGGATTTTTTTTGGATGAGCTACAAAAAAATCTCTTGAATGATCATGTCAAAGGGAAATGCTGACTCATCCAAAGCCACAGCTTCTGGTGCTTTTGTCGGTTTTCCCTCCCCCAATAAATCTATATCTCACCAAAAAGCTGAGGGACCAGTACAAGTTCTTTCTTTGTTCTGGCATGCTGGTGATGCTCAAACACAGACAGACCGTAACAGCTAGTCAGCAGACATACTCCTCTCTCCTTTTCAAGCTGCACTGCTATCAGTGCAATTTTTTTTAAGTTACTCTCCTTTTATTTTTCTGGAACTACTACCACCTTCAACATTTCAAAAACGATTGCCAGGCTTAAATGCCCCTGGTGCACTATGTGGCTCTCATCCCCTAGTGACTTGAATTTAAATGAAGTCTTTGTGCACCAGCAGAGTGGTCACATTTTACCTTACTAATCTGAAATAGTTCCTACCAGTGTAGCAGAGTTCATGCACCTTCTGAATTTTATTTTTTTGCACACATGGAGAGACAAAAGAAAAAGGATGGAAAGCATGGAATTCTCCTATTTCACTTCACTCACATCAGCATTCAGCTCTCAAATAAAACCACATGGGGCAAGAGCTAAGTATTGTTTTACCAGAATGGTTGCTCTGACTTTCAGTTCATTGACATTCTTCAAACAAACTTTCTATGCACAACACAGAGCACGTCTTGGTCTAATTAAGCCCCAAAGCCAAAGCTTCACAATGTGACACCAAGGTGCTCTTCCAGCCAGTGTATATTAAAAGGCATGATTTCATGCCATCAACCACTGTGCGTTTTGCATGCAGATTGTGAATACTGCCCGCGTGCTGTGCTAAGAGAGCAGAGACTTATGAAAATGACATCTGTTGCTAACACATCAAGTTGGTGACACCATGGTTAAAAATTTCCTCACCGGCTTCAGACTCATGCGCTTTGCCAAGAACCACCCACGCCACCAATTCAAGGCTGACAGTCCGTGCACATCTCCTTTCGGTTTGTAAGCACATTTTTTATGGCACATGAACATTAGGTAAGAGAGAAAGCTCCTCCCTTCAACCAAAAGCTTGTACTGTTTACAAGCAAAGTCATCAGATGTAGAACACAACCCTCAAATCAACTTTTTAAAAATGCAATCACACAATACGATTACTATGACCTTAGGATAGGAAGCGGTATTTTGATCAAGGTTAACACAATAAGGCTTATGATAAACGCGACACATTCACAAACACAAAAGGAGAGGGAAGAGACACAGAAGACAGCAATTTATGCACTGGGCTCTACCTGACACAAAAAACCCCAAAGCTGCATCAGAAGTTCTGCCCTTGGGACTGGTCTTGTTCCAAAGGCCTGAGAATTTCAGATTGGGATTTCTGAAATATGACATTTGGCTATTTTGACATGCATAAAACCTACATGATAAAAATGAAAGTTAAAAAAGATTCACAAAAGAGGCACTGGTGTTGGGAGTGATTTAAAAATATATATAAGCCCCCCAACTCCCGTCTCTGATTAAATCCCCCTATGTTTTTCTCTAAAAAGCAGCTGGGAAACAGTAAATGCCTTATTAATCAAGAGTCCCTGTCAGATGGCACTTAGAAGGGGGGAAAATGAAATAAAGAGAGAAGGGTTAAGTGGCTTACAAATGAGCCAACACAGAACTGGGAACAGGACCAGGAACCTGTCTCCAAAGCTACTTCTTGTTGAGACCACACACTTGTTACTGGGCTCCTTCCATTGAGGACCTGGTGGAGACAAAATGAGCTAGCATTTATTACCCAGTGCATGTGCTCTGCTTCTATCGAGCTCTAAAGGAAAGCAACAAAGCTAAGCAGAACAAACAGCTCCCCTTCTTCTGAGACAGAACCCCCAAAAATATATCTCTGAAAGTGCTCTCAGCCTCACTGGGACAGCCGCTATGAACAGCCTAGACAGATGTGCTGCAATGTGATGGCTAAACAGATGGTAAATTGTAAAAGACACGTTAAACTTCACATTTGATTTCTGAGTTGCTCTGATGGAAATCAATTCTTAATGTTAAACTAGTGCTCCTTCACTCATTGTTAAGCGATACTTTCTTTACTGCACACAAATTGGGCAGAGGCAGGGTAATTTACCACCCAGCAAACCTGGCTTCTTTTCTTATGCTTTAGATAGAGATAAGAGATTTACACTGTCAAAAATCATTGCTACTACAAAAGGAGCTGGCAAACATGAACATGCCAGAAAAACTTGGGTTTTTTTCTTTTAGTTAGTCTCCTGCAGAGCTGTTTCCACTCTGCTTGGAAAGTCATTACACACCAAGTGAAAAACAGAACTGCATTCTTTAGAAAGAGGTCAGGGCATGGTTTCACAATAGGCACAAATCACCTCCAGTTCATGCTGGAAAAGACAGTTCTGCCCTTTTGGCCATACACATCTGCCCTTGTCCCAACACTTGCAGTCTGGGCTGAATGGTCAGTCAGGTAAAGAAGGTGATGCAAATCCTGAACATTTGTGTTATTCAAGAGGTTTTTGCTACTATGCAAACTGTAATGCGTATCAGGAATACGTAGGTGGGAGGTGGAGAACTGACCCTGCTCCATGATGAACTCAATGCCAATGATGAAACTGCAATCAAAGAGACATCTCATCTCCACTGTACCTTTGCATCTCTACAAAAGATCAGACCCCAATCTCAGAAAGAAGATTTTTCATTTTCAGCTTGAATTCAAATGCAAGTCCACTGACAAGATTTCTGACAAAAGTGCTTTTGCTTTCTTTTGTCATCAGTCATAATTAGAAGTGACAAAACGAGCTGTCTGTTTATCCATTTTACTGTTTGGTATTCTTCCTTGAATCTGCAGTATGAGCAGTCACTTTGGAAGCATTACAAGCAAAACAATCTGCTTAAGAACTAGACAAGACAAGAACAAGGAGAGCAGGACAGGATGAAGACATGAAACTGATTCTGGAGAGTGGAAAAACATGCTCATGAGAGAGACCAGCCTCTACATCCCAATCCCAGAGTGTGGGGAAGACGACAGGACTGTCTGATACAAGCACAGAAACATTCAATATTCAAAGTAAAGGGATTAGTATGCTAATACACACACAAAGAATACACACATACACAAGGATACAGAGACTAAAATATTTGGCAAGTATTTTATAGTATTAGCAGAAATTATTTCATAATACAGGCAGAAATACGGATCCTAAAGTCAATATCCAAAGCTACTCTATAATACAGCCAACCATGATTCTGCACAACTTCAGCTGC